CGAAAGTCTAACCCGGGTCGTTAGGGTGAGGGCCAGGAATCCTGACTGCCAGATCTTAAACCACATTTATCAGTCAGCAATAAACATAATCCAGTTAACGCTTACTACTGTGTTTTTGAAACATTATTCATTTGGTTGAAGCAAATACCAGCAACCAATATTAGTCTTGAGGTGCCGCAGTTAAACGTGAATTTAATTTAAGAATAAAATGTTTTCTTGGAAAGTTTACCTTTTTAATTTATTTTTATACAGGAAATATGAATTAATTCAGGGTCATTTTTAACATGAAATTTGTTTTTGCTAAGGATAAAACTGAACAAATGGTATTGCTATGAATTCATTGGCAGTTGTTTTTCTTCATTTTTTTCAAACTCCTTATATGCATTTGATCTTTATTTGCGTCATAGACAGGAATGAAGTGAAACTTACCAACATACTACTGAAAATCAACAAGCCTTAAGCAAAGATTGAATATACTAGACTCACTATTTAAAGAGACAGAATTCGCGTGGTTATTTATGAAGCGAAAGTTCGAAGAGTTCTCAATTTTTTAAAGCATACTCTATTGGTGTCAGTTATCAACTGATGATAACAGTAAAACGAAGATTATTTTGTAACCGAAGTTAGACTTAAGATTTTTTTTAACCTCCAAAACATTGTTTTTGAAGTTAGATTTGAATAAATTTGGGTAGTGAATAATAGTTTTAAACCAGCGCGAATTGACGGATACCCCGGTGTGAAGAATTTACAGACAAATATTGCTTAAACTTAAACATATTAACAAAGTTGTACTTCTAGACAAAGAGTAATAGTTTGTTATTCTCTAGATGAATGTATGAGAATGGCGACTTCTAGAAATCCCCAGTTTCAACTCATTGCACTATCAACGAAGATGGTCAGCTGCTTTGATTCCTCAACCAATATAATATCATTTATTAATTTTTCAAACGCAATATATTACTCATCTGATGATCTACCTGAATAAGATTACTGTTTCCCAAGTAATTTAACCTAGGTGTTTTCTTGTCGAGTAAGTTACAAAGCAATGTTATGACTAACGTTTGAGTTCCAGTTAGTGAAGGCAAGTCAACCAACAAGCTTGAACGATTCCGTCGAATGGAGTAGATGTGATGTGTGTTGTGTACACTGAAACGTTGTAAATTAAAACGGTAAGAGCAAGCCTAAGCATAAATAGGTTGAATGAATGCTGAAGTCTGAGAAATGATAATGTGAACTACACACTGGGTTGGTGAATATCGATAGAAGCTGTGGCATCAGTCCTCATCATGACCTGAAATTTCAGATGACATGTTTCAATGTCAATCATATTAACATAAATGCCTGTACACATTTTACTCGACAACTAGAAGTTTTGTTTGTCTTATAATTCTTTCAGTTCATTATTATCAATATACTCTATCAAAAAGGCTGTTACTTCTGTTAATTTCCGTCTTTTTCCAAGGCATAGCAACTTGAAACTATACACTTTCAAAAGATCTTCTACGCTAACTGTTCATCTATCGAAATGTAGAAAATATATTGTCACTTTATTTCTACGTGTCTATCAGTTAGATTTTTCTTTATGTGTTGAATCTTAAGTTACCAAATTTCTACTGATTTCGATGGTTTTCACTCCACATAGTTTATGAACTAGCGTCTTACGTACTCGTGTTCCATCGTGGGATAAGGTTTACATGGCTGAGGCTGAAAATGTCTTGACAATATAAAACTTTTGATGCATATAATAAGAAGATTGTTATTTTATCTTCAATCCAAGTATTCAACTTTCACTTATACTCAAGGATGTGCAAATGTCAGTAGCAGTACTTAGTACATATGCTATTCAGTAATTACACTGAAGCTTCATACAGTCTTAAAATGCTTTATATAACTGTTTTACCCAAAGCGATTGCAACTAATAATCAGTCTTTCATTTAGGTTTACTCATTTGACATAATGCACAGTGACAAATTGTTTACCAAATGACATTTCCAGTGCTAACTGTAAGTCTATAAAAGTTGCCATAAAAATTTTAAAACTTAGTTTTATAGTCTTAATGATTTTTTTCAAGTTTTATTTATCATAGACCGACAATTAGAGAAACATTGGAGACCTGGGAGTACTGTACAGCTGTTTCGTCCTAGTATGAAACTCCTCGGCAGCACACACTGACAACCACACCAGAAATTGAGCCCAGGACCTCAAGGTTCCCTGGCCAGCAGGTTACCATTGAGCCATACAGTTGGAATCCAGCGGTTCATATTTCCATCTTCTGTCAGTTAACGACATACGGTGACTATAACCCAACGTCCTCGTTGAGTATTTGTCTTCACGGCCGCCAGGTTTGCCCTACCAGTCGTGACTTCTCATTGGAACTTCAGGAATTACCTCTCGAAGGTAGTCACCAATGAAAACTAGATCGATTTAATTTAAGGATTTGTGGGGATTTAGTGATTTCAAGTTGGTATTGAACAGAAACTGACATCGACTGGCTGAACATCGGAAACCTGAGAGCAATGGATAGCTGGTGACCGTGAGGAAAAACACTCAGCGATGATATTGGGTGATGGTCACCCTATTTCGTGAACTAACCGAAGTTGGACATAAGGACCATTGGATTCTGACCTATCAACTCAATGGTAACCAGCTGGTAATAGAAACTGAATGTCTTGGGTTCGATCCCTAGCGAGGTGGCAAGTGCGCACTCCTGTCGAGTCTCATACTAGGATGAAACAGCTGTCTAGCGCTCCCAGATCCTCAATTTTCCTCCAACTGATGTCAGTCATGTGGAATACCAACTGAAAATCAATAAATCCCCAAAAATCCCAAAATTAAATGAAAATTTTATTTTCAGATTTCATTAGTTGTGGATTTTTCCGTGTATATGCAGGAGTGGCATAAAATTATTCTTGTTGTATTTATTAAGCACTGATTAGATAAAAAAAGAATCCGGTGTTCAATCTCTTGTCAACCTAATTAATAAAAGTCTTATTTACAGAACAACACTTCCCACTGTAAACATATGGTTTTTATTACTGCTTATTGCATGTTATTACCTTTTAGGAACCAGTCATTCAGTGACACAACTAGTGGTTATCTTAAACTGATAAAATCTGTACAGTCAAAATATTTTTTGAATTTTTTCTACGCTTTCTTCACTGATTAAAACATATGGTTCCCTATCATTTTGCACAGAGCATATATTTTTTAAGATAAAAATGGACAGGTGTGAATATATTCTCCATATATATATATATATATATATATATATATATATATATATATATATATATATATATATATATATACTTGTGGATGTCGGTACAAGTGGGTGCGTAACTGTTAAAATAAAACCCTTTCTGCACATGTTGGCATATTTTAATTTCAGAGGACTGTATTATATGTAGCAAAAGTAGGCTGAAGTTTATCACCTATTTAGGGTACATCTGTTCTGTTATTTTGTATTTCGCAACAAAATAATACGTATGTCATTTTTATTACTTTGAAACACTTATTAAATCAACGACCGATTCTCGTTGCAAGGGAAGTGGCTCTCCTGCCATTATGGCCTAGTGGATAACGCTCCAGCATTTGAATCGATTGGTGCTGGGTTCGACTCCCAGGGAGAATCCTATTGCTCACTCAGATGCAAATACATCCAACTGACGAGTCACAAATGGCACAGTGAATATGTAGATAGTATCAAGGCATGCGCAGAGGGGCCCATGTGCCAAAAGTGATTAAGGAGTTCTACCCGGCATAACGATGGTAAATTCTAAGTGCTAATAAACAACTCGTTCTCTCGTTTTTACGTGCATTAGGAATAAACATTGTAATTTCCAGAATGTGTTTGAAAAGTTAAAGTATTTTCTTTGACCTTCACATTTTAGGCATACATAATCTTCCTTAATAATATAATGATGACTGAAATTTAAAAGCCTGTCCGTCCTGTGGTACAGAATGAGCATAACTCAATGTGCATAGAAAAGTAGGGAGGTAGAAATGAAACATTCTGTTCAAATGACTACTCATTGAGTAAATAATGGTCTGCTGAAAAATATCATTTCGTCTTTTTAACATTTACACATATTGGCAAATGTGTCTACTGTATATTTCTTTTTTTACACTGGTTTCTACAAACATAAACATTCTTGAATGTGAAGGATTTTTACAACCAGAGTGGCTTTATTTTTGTGGATCTAAAATCACTGCCGATAAGCTTCGACCAACTTTCGGTAATTTATGGCTGCATCAGTTGACATTAAGTGACTGCTTCCTGTGTGTAGACGTCCACTGTTTATAAAATCATAAACTAGTGTATCAACCATTGGTGGATGTCATTCAGTGTACAAAACTTTGGTTCAAAATTGATCACATGTACACATTTATATAATCTTGGTCATTTTAGAGGTCTTGAACATTTTCATAACCCTAGTCTGCATGTGGTCTCCGCCGACATTCACTTTTGTCAACTTCAATGTCATTCCTTTTCTATCCAGCTTCTGTGAATTGTGGCAGCCCGAACTGATGTACTTGTACTCTAGGTTCTATGTTAATCTACCTATTTGTTTCTAAGGTGGACCCTGGTGAGAAAGACTGATTACGAGCACTGAACGAAGATCTGTCCTTGAAAAATGTGAACTAGTCGTCTGTAGATGTAACTTTTTCTCACCTGCTTCATCATTGACCTAGGTGTGAAAATTCGCTAAACAGTACTTTATTAAACTAGAGTCAGGCTTTTTCTATGGATATTCTGCAACATATCGTCACCAAGTGATCCAGTAAATTAAATGAGTGTATTGGAAGTAATTTCTTAAGAAATTTCATAAGTGAGTTTCCCTATATAAACTTGAAAGAGGTAGAAAAACAACAGCAGCAAGATAAAACGGACCCATTTTACTTAAGTGATGTCTTATTAACTGCTTATAATCTAAAATATCGAAATATATAGATTTATTGAGAACCCAACATATTTTAAAGTATTTTAAAACTTCGCTTACCATTTTATCTTCGGTCTTTTGAATTAAACTGTCAGACGGGGTTGAATAATCCTTCTTTGACAATCTATAAAGGAACAAGATAATTATATATATATATATATATATATATATATATATATATATATATATATATAAAACAAGCAACAAGTGTGAAAAAGTACGCTAAGTGGGTAGGGAGCAGAACAATGGCCCCAACGGTGCAGAAGAAACCAGCCTATGTCACCTTGCCATTCAAAGGTGACGACGTGCTAGAGGTAGTTAGACGAAGACTGGAGAAGTCTATCTTTAGGACTTACTACGCAGCTAAACTGATTCCTCTTAGCACCACCAAAAGGGTATTGCAGCAATCAGGAAAAGACAGTACTCCGATCCTCGACACATCTAAATGCATATATCAATTCCAATGTACCTGCGGAAGCAAATACATTAGTCAGTCGTACGGAGAGGCGTCTGTCTACTAGAATGGTTGAGCACATACCGAAATGGTTGAAGCATGCCGAAAAGAAGACCCTGAAGAGCTCGATAACGAAGCACTTAATGGATTATGGACATGATATTGATACCTAAAAGTCCTTTTAAGTTATCACTAGACAGCAAAATAAGAAGTTGCTTGGATATGTAGAAGCCTGCACGATTCGAGTTGTCAAACCAAACCTTTGCATTCAGAAGGAAATGGTAGTCAGCCTGAATCTGCCATGGTAATAACTACAACATTGTCTAATCATGTTTAATCTTTCTTATTTTACTCTTCACTATTAATTATCACTCACCTCATATTTGTTTTCCTTCCCTGATTTACTCCGTCTAATTAACCTTATTCCTATTGCTAACGATCACTGATTGCACCACAGGGTTCAAAACTGAAAACAATAATTAGTGTGAAATCTTCAACATTTTATTAAGTTATATTATGGCCTGAGCGAAGTGAATTTCAAAAAGTCAATGGACAAGTGACATGTCAGTTTATACTTTTCTTTTCCTGATTTCAGTAAAGTTCATAGTCAGAAGTTTAATTACTGAAGAGGTGGTCACCTATCTGGCTATAAAATATTATCTACTGGTTTCAGTTGACTGACCATGTATACTGTTCGATCATCAAGCCAACCGATACGAGGTGTTTGATGTAAGTTGGCATAAAAAGACCTGGATCCAGGTCTAGCAGCTTTTGGAACTCTTTAGCAAAATGCATCTGTAGGCTAAAAGAGTTCTTGTAGACTGACCTTTTATATTTACCAGGAAAGAGACAAAAAAGATGGAACTTGAGATTTATTTCAGTAGTTTTTGTAGTTCTACCTTTTATGATATAATCATTTCGGAAACCAGATATCTATACACTGTTAACCTATACATTCTTTAAGGGTTTACTTCCATAACAGGCTATTGGGAAGCATAAAGTTTTCAGTCTCACCATTCATCATCATCTATTCAGCAACATCATGATGTTTATCTCAAGTTATGAGAACTTAAGACCAGATTACTGATGTTTAGATTTCAAGATGGTTTCGCTTTTTGTATCTAGACTCGTTTGTAGTTAGGTTCCTTGTTTTGCCTAGTTACCAAAGATGAGATATATCATTTTTAAAAACAGACGCCTTATAGACTCCAGAAACATGTTTGGATCACACAATATCCGAGCACCTGAAGATAAATCTTTCGAGTAGCATAGGAATGGCATTTAGTATGGGATAGTCAGGAATAATCAGCAGAATTTCATATATAACCCCTGCATTTTTTATTCCTAACAATTTCGAGGGGGTTACTGATCCTTCAAAGATATTAACCTACAACTTACAACACTCCGATTCTTTTTTTTTGCAAGAGAATCACTGACCAGTCACTAATCAGAGCTAGGGATGCCACTAAAGACTACAGGGTAACAATACGAAGAGTTGTGCTTCGTTGTAAAATGTCCCCAATTAATGAAGAAGTAACTTTAAAAAAATCTGGTAATCTCTGTGAGACATCTTGTAACCTTTTTATTTTCGTTCATTCTTTTACTTCTCTTCTTGAGTGAGATCAACGAAATTCTAGGAGACTAAAAATCATCAATTATAGTACAAGATCACTTAAAAATCACCAATGGACAATGTGACTTTAGGACCAAACGTAAATTTCATCTAATAACTTTCATTCTCAGAGCTTCCTAAGTATCTTGATAAATGAACATCAAGGTGCGTTCAGATGATTTTAAAAATCGGTACCAAAAGTTTCTGCTTCCAACTTTATTCTGCAAATAGACAGATTCATTCAGTCATTTTTCTCGTCACTGATCTACCAGTGTAAATTATCAACCAACATTTCTTCACTGCATAATGAACTACTAAAACTTGGTTTATAGATTGATTATTGTAACTTCGTCTGGTCGATATATTTCTGTCGAAACTAATGAATCATAATGAAAGTCTATAGCAAAGTTGATCTGAATACGATCCAAATATTCGTGTGAAAATAAGTTGTAGAGTCCGTCCATATTGACCTAATCAAATAGCCAACCAAAAAACGATGACTGTCTACGCATTTTTGTGTCTTCAGATCATTTCCATAAAGCTCAAAACTTCTCTTAAAAACGATTTCGATTTCCAGTGTTTTGTGAAGCGTATACTAGTTATTCGATATTAGAAGTGTAGGTGGTCAGTAACTAGTCTGGCAAATACTAACAAGTTGACAGAAGAGGCAGGACAGCGAAGACGGCACTTCAAGTGAATGTGGAGATGACGGTGATCATGAGGATACCCAACCAACAACAGCATCAACAACAACCAGCACCAACCACCATCATCAGGAGAAACGTAGAGGAAGTTGTCTCTCTCACCTACTCATGCAGGGCAGCATCATTTCAACTACAGGCAGTGGCACAGGCACAGACGACGAAGTCAATCGAAACCAGGATCGGAAACACAGGAAGACAGACACACCTTCATTAATCTGAAATCAGTGTGGAGATCTACTGCCCTCCACTGCACTGCCCTCCACTGAACTGCACTGCACTGTACTCCACTGCACTCAGCATAAAGCCTGAACAACATCCGGATTTTCAACACCAATGTCAGTCAAGTCAGTGCTTCTATGTGATGGTTGAGAGACTTTGTGCATCACGAAAAGCATTTCCAACAATCTACAGACATTGATCACTAGCTGCCGCCTACTCTCACTCGATACTGACACTGAAGATCAGATGGCCAGAGTAGAAATAATAAGCAACAAGGAATTCTGACTGGCTGGCTGGCTGACTGACTGACTAGCTGGCTGTCAACGAAACAACCGAGAAGCCATCCATGAGTCAAGAAATATGCAGAGTGGAGTGGAGATGGATTTGACTGGGGATACACTGAGTATTCCGATTGGTGACATCACGCGTCAGACTGTTGTGTGGAATCGGAAGGGTAAAGAAGGATTTTTGGGTGTGAGGTGAGGGTGATATTGAGGAGATGGTGTGAGGAAGGAATGAAATTTTGTTTTGAGTGGTGGAGCGAGGTTGAAGTGCGTGTAGTGTAGAGAGTGCGATGGAGGCGACCCACTGAAGCCCTATATTCCACAAGGAACCGAAGGGAAAAATGATAAGAATAACTATTCTGAAACTGGATTTCATTCCAACTATGCGTGATGAGTCTGGCGGAGAAAATATGCATTGAATGAATTTCAAAGTAAGGCTCATGGAATCTAGATTACATGTTAAATTTATCAAAGAGTGTATTCAAAAGAATGACCATTTGAACAAAAATTTACGGTGAGGAATACTATGTGGTGAGATTATCGCTTTTCATCAATGAAGATTCAACATTAATTATGTTGCATTCGTTTGCGACATAAAGCTCATTTTATCCAAGTAACAGAATAAATTTACCTTTCTACACGCTTGTAGCTATCAATATATTGGTGTTATGCTTCTTGCAGTTTTCAGAAGGATCAGTTGGTTCTGTACTGAAAATCAAACTAATCTCTTTATTTTGTCCAGCAAAGGCCGAAAAATCGACAGTCCTCAGTAGTGTGTCACCGTAGTGTAGAGAACTTTGAAAAAGCCGTTTATGTCACACAACTTATAACCAAGTCACTAGCTTCTAATTCTTAGAATATTACGTGTAACGCATCAGTTCTGAATCCAATCAAGAAATTTACATAAATGCCACCTGTTTGACTTTAAAAGTTGATACTAACACAGAATTTAGTTGTAGCTGAAGTTTTGTTAATTTCGATATCATTATGAGTAGTAACTTATACATTTTCACGAATACTTGGTTCTATATTCCAACTGACTCATAGGATTTTTTCATTGATTAGTACCTGTAACAGGACTTCTAAAAACTGTCATTCCAATATTTTTTACTGTTGTCCAAAATACAACTTTCAGATATAAATACAAACAGCACAATAACGACGAGAATGTAACCCAAACAATTATGTAGAATATTCGTTACAAAGGAATAATGATGTCATACATATTTTGATATACCCCTCTCTGGGTAATAGTGAACAAACTTTGAACCGAAAGGCACTGCTTCATTGAAAAAAAAACAAGAGATTCGAACACTTAGTTGTGAAAATATATTAGAAGCGTTAACGCACTCATTACACCATGCATTTTCTATGACTAATTCTGCTTCATTATTATTTTAAATAGCTGATAAAATCTGCTCACTATAAATACAACCATTGAGAAGATGAGACAAATATTATCAGTTGATTGAAATCCTCATAATTTATTATTGACACGATTCACAGAAGTACAGAATGATGAGGTGGATAACAATCGAGTGACATTAGAATAAATAACATATGGACGAATGATATAGTTTTTATTAAATGCTCATCACATTCCTGAGTTATAAATTGGGATTGCTCAGCACAGGAACAGGCCAAGTTTGAGGCAATTACATTTCTAAGATGGGATTGGAATACGGAAATGCAATCAGACTGATACATGGATGATACATTTTGTACTTAACTAAGAGCCCATTCAGTGATTCCATTCTTAAAAATCCAACAGTATACATCCAATAGTTCACTTGAATAACGAAAGTAAAACCAATGAATCCATAAATTTTATTGACATCTCATTGACAACAA